TGGGTGTACATAGCTGGTGCCTTAGCCACTTGAGCAACAGGCACCGAGCCTTCACATAAGATTATTAAAAAGACATGTACTTATAAAATAGCCAATAAGCACATGAAAAGATGCTCAAAATCATTATAATCATTAAGAAAATGTACACCAAAACTACAGTTTTATTTTATTAAATAAAATGTAAACAGAGATTTTATAACACATCAAACTCCAAGCTTCATAACCTTGAACTAGAAACAGAAGAAAATAAAAGGTAAGAACTCAGCCATTTCTATTTTTCCTCTTTCTTCCCTACAGTAGGTCCTAACTATTGCTATGGTAAATTTAAGTAAAGAAGCTAAAACAATGCAACTTTATGCTACTTAATAGTTCACAAGAAATTCTTCATTTAAGATTAATTTGGGAGAGGCAAGAGCTTAAACTTGTAAAGTTAATTCTGATAGCTTAAACATCTGCAGCAGGTGATTTGACGGGTTCAGAAAAAAGTGAAGCAGGAAATTTTTTTTTTTGCAATTTTTGACCGGGGCTGGGTTTGAACCCACCACCTCCAGTATATGGGGCTGGGGCCCTATTCCTTTGAGCCACAGGCACCACCCCAGGAAACCTTCAACTTTGAAACTCTGGCACCCACCTCAGACCTTTCAGGCACCCATTAGTACTCCAGCTGCATCCAGGTTATTAAAAGCTCCTCGGTCCCTTAAAGCAAGTCCCCACACCAATCAAAGGCCAATGTTTGTATGTGTACAGGAGCCAATTAAAGAGTCCACAGAGGTGGAAAAGTGCTAGTCATGAGGCCTAAATTCTGCCCCACACAATCAACACCAACAGTGGGATGTTGAGTTCATTCATTACTCCACTTTCTCATAGTCAACAAGGAAATCACAAGTGTATCTTCACTACAAATTATGGAAATTGTAGTGAATCATTAGCATTTTAAAAGAAAGGCTGTTAGTCCAACAATGCCAACCTAACCTAGAAGGCCCTCCCCTGACTTCAGCTTCTAATATTTCACCCACCACCCCTCTAACCCTATTTTTAGTCTTCCAAAGAGCAAGTAACAAATGGAATTGACCTCACAGTATCCATAATGGCCCACAACAATTTTCTGAAATATCTGTTGCTTTTATTTAAAATAAAGAAAAATAAAATAGCCACTAATCTTGAATCTGTAACAGGAGTTTTTCATACTAGAAATGTATGGAACATTAGTAACAGCCAACTTGGAACATGTTTGGATGGATTCATATAGCCCTTACAAATTCACTTCCAACATCCTTTATGATTGACAAAATATAACACATATTTTTAAAAAATAAAACACATAGATCTGCAATATTTCTAAGTTCCCACTTCAGTAAGGTAAGAAACCATAAAATCTCTAACAGCTACCTGGGTTAAAAATAAAAACAAGTACCAATTTGAGTTGAGATCCTTAAAATTTCTTCTTTGGAATGTATAAAAATTTTACCAAAGATTTAGCAATCCAGTTAACTATTCACCAGGATTTAAACTGGGCTGGTTGGATAAGTTAACCATAATATTATGCTAATAAGACTACAGACCTACTCCAATTTCTATTTAGGTCTATTAGAGATACCAAAAAAATTTCTTTAGATCCACATTATTACATATAACAGTTAACTATCTTTTTTTTTTTTTTCCTGCAGTTTTTTTGGCTGGGGCTGGGTTTGAACCCACCACCTCTGGCATATGGGGCCAGCGCCCTACCACTTTGAGTCACAGGCGCCGCCCTCTAACAGTTAACTATCTTACAAACTTCTATTCCTGATTGTAGAAGACCACCAAAAACCTACACACAAATGAGCATGTACACACACTACTTCTAGAAGAGTAACTCCACATATGCATCAGTTGATAATGAGTTAGCATCATTTTTTCCCTATACCTGTATAAAGAATAGACCATTAACATGTAGTAGGATTCTGAGATGGAGAGCAGAGTGAAAAAATAGTGATAGCCAGCAATACACAATTCCATTTTCCAGAAAAATATTCCTGACAAGATAAAGTAAAATATTGCATTGTTTTTTGTCATTTTAGTTGTGGTATCTCAATTGCAGAAGAGTAAAACCTAAACTAACTATTGACAATCTAAATTAAAAGACAATACTTTCATATATATGTTAAAAGGCTGCTGCCAGCCCTAACAATGGCCCAACCACCAAGAATTAAGGAAAATAAGTAAACACAACATTTAGGAAGGGGAAGTGGTGTGCTGGAATCCTCTCCCCTCCAGGAAACCAAAGAAGAACTATAAGGATGTCATGATGACCAGCTATAAACAAGACTATATGAAGACTCGGTTTGCTACTCTCTGACCTTTAAACCAGGCTTACTAATTTCCTAATCTACAAGCAAACTCACTATCCCTTTACCTAGAAAATAAGTTCCTCCAATATCATACAGACCATTCACAGGGATCCTCAAAGTTACTGTTCACTTGCCTCCTTCCCCTAGCCCCTTAAGGAGATGAGACCCTCTTCTTCCTTAACCCCCACCTCTGAGGCACCAGTCATCCCATTAAGCCTTGGGACTATCCGCCATAGAAGATAAACCCACACACAGTGGACCAGTCCCCAGACTGTTTCTTTCCTTAGATCAGTTATCCAGCGCATATGCTTCAGACCTGCCCAGCTGACTCTCTATCCCATGCCAGTGGCCTTCTTTCATGAAGTGATGTGATGGCTCCTGAATTTAAGGGAACTCAGAACATTTTGAGATTCATACTTAACAAGAACAATGCAGTACCCATAAAACAAAGATACTCTTACGACACTTGTCATCATAACAGAAATAAAACATGCTAAGAATCCCAAATCAAACCTGGCAGTTATTTTTCTCCTCTATGGACATAATGCTCCACCACATTATCTCTATCTCCTGATTTTAGTTCCTAGAAATGGACAAAACTTGAGAAACACAGCCAGTCTTCTCCTGAGGACCAACTGGACAGTGGACATGTCAAATATGGCTGCTCTCCAATTGTTTTCTATTAATTTTTAACAGGCTCCCTGATCACTTTTCAATTCCAAACCTCAGTCTCTTACAGAGGCACTTCATACTTTCCATGAATACAGCACTCCAAGAGATAGAAGACGAGTACAAGTCATGCTCTTAAAAAAATTAAATTTTACAAGAGAAAATTCCACATTAGAATACAACGAAGCTGTGTATGATACGTGCTATACAAGCAATAGTTGCTACATAGAGCAAAGGAAAGATAATTACACTCATTTGTTTGTAGACAGGGTTTTATGAAAAAATAAAGATTGCAAAAAAATCCTGTATTTTAAATATATATTAAAGAACCAATTTTAACAGAGTGGCAGAGGAAAGTGTCTACATTCTAGGCAAAAGTAACAACATGGGAAAGAGTGTTCCCACAGCTATATCAAAATACTATAAACCAGGTGGCTTCTAAACCCTCAGCATTCCAGTGGCCTGGAAGTCCAAGATCAAGACGCTGACATGTTTGGGGTGTGGGGAGGAAGCAGGCCCTCCCCACAGTAACCTCGCATGGCTGAAGGGGCAGGGCTCTCTCTGGGGTCTCTTCAGAAGGGCGCTAATCCTATTCATGAGGGCCCTGCTTTCACGACCTAAGCACCTTCCAAAGGCTCCATTTCCTAATACCATCACCTGGGTAGTCAGGATTCCAACTTCCAACATGAGAACTGGGGAAGGGAATTCACACTCAGACCATAGCAGAAAGTATGTGAGAAGCAAAGGAAATGCCAGATACATGGAGTAAGGGTGAGAGATTAAAGCTGGAGAGGTTGGCTGGGGGTCACATTGCAGAGGACCTTGAATCCCACAGTTATGAGTCTGTACTTAACTTCATTAGCCAAATAAGAGTGACATGGGTAGAAGGCCATCTCAGGAAGAATAACCTATAAGGAGAACAAGCAATGGTTTGGCAAGAAAGAACAGTCCAAATGCTAACGTAATTCTCTGAGCAGCAGTAAAGACGCAAACCAGGGTTGACAGCACTGGAAACACAAAGTGCCAAATGCCTCACACACACCACAGGTAAACTTCTAACCACGGAGTTCTCTAAGACAGCTCTCATAACTCTTCCCCATATATACTTTCCAAATAAAAACTCAAAAAATAAGAGATTTTATTTCCTGATACCTTCTAAAATTCATACGAGAGCGGTCTGGTAAGTAGCCATGTATGTCTCTATTTTCTCATAATTGCTGGATACTTTCCAGACAGCCCTCATATACTACAAATGAGTCACTTGAAAAACCCAAGTTAAGACAGTAAAATAAGCAATTAAGGTGCACATCATTGAAACTAAACAGTATTCTGAAAAGCCACGCAATTTTATTTGACCTCCTATCCCCTGATCTCAAGATACACCACATAAGGCAACTTCTTTTTGGTTTTTTTTGAGGTAGGAGCCTCAAGCTGTCGCCCTGGGTAGAGTGCTGACATCACAGCTCACAGCAACCTCCAACTCCTGGGCTGAAGT